CGAAGTGGTGATTTCGAGTGGAGGGCAGTGCACGAGACTGAAATTTTGTAAGAATATTTATATTCATGTGTGGTTCAAATTAAGCTTGGTGGCTAAATTCCCTGCAACAAACGCTCAGTTGGATCTCAGCCTTAAAAAAGAATTACATTTTGCTGGGTCTCCGTCATCTTTCTCTCCCGACATCCTTGAATGACCGGTTACAATAATACATGCTAGATGTTAAAGTTTCATGTGGCTCCATAATATGATACTACCTTTCCGGCTGAACCCCTTCACCCCCTGCATATAAAAAAGGGCAAAAACATTGCCAACAGAGATTCACGTGTTGAACTGTAAAACGACAATCAATTCATGCTTTTAACGACCTAATTACTTTAAGATTCGTGCAAAAACGCGTGTGATCATACCTGATGCTTTGCTCACTGAATCGCTTTTGCATAAAGATGCAAAAACGCATAAAAATTGCATAATCAAAGATTTCCAGGACTTGGTTGCAGCGGCAAAAGCAAGTGAGCTAGCGGAAGGCTTGCAACTATTATCGATCCGTGATCGATCCTGGCAAATACAAGCATGTTCGGCTATTACCGGTGAAGGTATCAAGGTACCGTTTCTGATGTTCTCACTTTTACGACTAGTGATCCTCGAGTGATTTTTTACAATATTTCGCAACTGTCTATGTTTTATTCGAAGACTCAGTTCTCTGGGTAACTTCCCAATCCTGCGTTGCGAGCAACGGTTTTCTCGAGATGATACCGAGTAGCGCACTAACCAAATGCGGCCCAGGTAAAATATAGGCTAAAATTTAACGGTGTATTACCAATAGGTCTCTTTATTCTTTTCAACTGCACATGCAGGGGAAAACTTTGCCTTTTTTAAGACCAAACAGCTTGCAGAATTATTGGACTTACAACCCGTGTTTAAAAAAAGCTTTGTTACTTTTTCGATCTGTGTAAAGAAGTAACTAATGCGCTGCAGGATGGGATGGATTGGATTTCGAAGAATTTACGACAACAACAGAAGTCAAAATAATGAAAGCTTTGTGTATTTGTCAGTGTAAGATACTTTTTCGAATTTTTACACAAATATAAAGACGCCGGTTAATCTGCTTAAGTACGAGTTGCAACTCAATTTAGCAGGTGCTCAAGCTCGTCAGGGAAAGGCTGGTTAGTAAAGAGTTATGACTGAAGCTCTTTTTTTTGTCATAGAAATGCCAAAAACTCTTAACTAGCCATAGCAGTCAGTGCGCATGTAGTAGCCAGGTTTTGTGAAAAAAAAAGTGCTTTAATGTTTAAAAAGATGCCATCATTATCTTGAGATTTTGGCTTCCAGAATTACAAAGGAAGCATCGGTTTCGGCTGCGATTTGCTGAGCAGTAGTAAGAAGCCTTCCTGGTAAGACCATAAAGGGCTTGAGAGCAATGAGGCCGAACTGTTCGAAAAAAAAAACTCTTTATTTCATTTCAACATTTACTGTTTTAAACACATTTGGTAAAAAAAAA